GAAAAAACCCCCTTTTTTTTTTTTTTAATAAAATCAATTAATTGGAGATGCTTTTGATTGTTAAAATGTAATGGAACCAATAAAATTTAATCCAGAAAATAATGGAAAACAGAATTTGGTAAAGATAAAACTGTAAAACTCAATTAATTAGACAGGCTTTTTGATTAATAAAATTTAATTTAACCATTAAAACAGAGTATAGAAAAATGAAAATGGAAAAAAATGAATTTGGAAATAAAACGGATTTCATAGTGCCCTATAATTATAATAATTTTTTTTTGTGGTAATAAAAATAGACGTAAGTGAACAATAGCCTTTAAAATTACTTAAAATACATAATTTGGCGCCACCTACTGTTGTGGGTGTATTATTCAGACCCTGAATATAAGACGACCGCGTTTTTTCAGATGTATTTCCAAGAAAAAAACATTGTCTTATATTCGGGTCAATATGGTATATATATATATATATATATATATATATGGCTCCTCATTTTAAAACACCACCGCACACCACTGATATATATACCACTGTTACACATGCATACATATATACACTGAACAAAAATATAAATGCAACACTTTTGTTTTTGCCCCCATTTTTCATGAGCTGAACTCAAAGATCTAAGACTTTTTCTATGTACACAAATTCAAATGTCCACTTAATCTTTAATATTTGGCCATTTCTTTAGGCCAGAAATGCTATAGCCACTGTAATTAAATGAATATGTGGACATCAAAACGTGTAAACTGGGTAAAAAGTGAGGGTTTGAGCTTTTATTTTGAAACCACGATATATTTTTCCTGTGATTGCGTAGATTTATAAATGATTTACCTTACAAATCTGATGAAATGGCGCATGTTGCGTTCCCAGATGAACGTTATAATAAACCCAAACTCACAACAGTTTGAGATGCTCCACACATGTAAATGATAACAGTTCCTGTGGCACTACTGTGAAAGGAGCCTCTGTGTGATGCATGTACTCAACCTACATGCATGTAAATAATTAAAGCGCATATACTGTATTAGAACTGCATCGCATATAATTATTTAATTAAATTGTAGCGTTTGTGAATTCACAATTATGCTTAATTATTTTTAAATGGGTTTAATATATCATGCAGCCTTGGAAAACAGACTAATAATGTGTTTTATACATTCTCGTCTGTGAAATGCGCCACTTCCGGTATTTTGCCGGTTAATCGACGCGACTCACGCGAGCAAAATGAAGTCGAGGATTTAAAAAAATCGAATAGTCGAATAAAATCGGCGAATCGCGACAGCCCTACACTGATGATTCAAACGCGAGTTTTGAGCAGTGTAGAGTAGCGCTTGTTGTTTGTCATTTCTCCGATCACAA